TGTGCCCCATGGATAATCCTTTTTAAATGAAGGTTCTCAAAAGATGTGCATATATATTTTCATTCTAAATTTGAACTCAGGTATATTATCATTTAAAGGTATAAATCATTTAAATATTTAATATGTAGCAAAAAATCAGAAAAATCAGGAATATTTTATTTAAATCTCTATCAGCCTTGTTACACTGAAATGCAAAATAAACCTTATATTTTCCCTAATGATCATATTATCAGTTGGATAATATAAAGTTTTTCTCTGCCACTATAGATTTATGACTTCTGTAAAAAAAGCAGTGATAAGATTTATAAAATCTGGAGTTCCTTCTCAGAGATTTATGGCACTCACTGAAGAATTATGTGAATTTCATGAGATCATCAAATTAAGGAAACATGTATAATTTTGCCTTTGCCAGACACATTCATAGCATAGGAATGAAATCCAAAATATAGTTTACTATTGATTTTTTTTTTTAAAGATTTTTATTTATTATTTGACAGAGAGAGAATGAGAGAAAGAGAGCACATGAGAGGGGGGAGGGGCAGAGGGAGAAGCAGGCTCCCCGCTGAGCAGGGAGCCCGATGTGGGACTCGATCCCGGGACTCCGGGATCATGACCTGAGCCGAAGGCAGTCGCTCAACCGACTGAGCCACCCAGGTGCCCAGTTTACTATTGATTTTAATTTGATTTCTCAGCACAACTTTATGCTGTTATTGGGTCTGAAAGAGAAAATAAGCATATACCTGTGTATACTCATGGAAGCATGTATTTTACTAACAGTTGAATGAGAATATCTTGAAGTTTTTTACTTTTATATTCTACTTACAATGCGTACTGAGCCAACATAAACATACAAAATGTTATTTTAATGCTGTCAATCTTTGCTTAATTGCTAAAATAACTTAAATAATGATGTAAAGAATATAGTTTGAGGAGCGCCTGGGTGGTTCAGTCGGTTAAGCGGCTGCCTTCAGCTCAGGTCATGATCCTGGGGTCCTGGGATCGAGGCCCACGTCTGGCTCCCTGCTCAGCGGAGAGCCTGCTTCTCCCTCTCCCTCTGCCTGCCACTCTGCCTACTTGTGCTCTCTATCTCTCTGTCAAATAAACAAATAAAATCTTAAAAAAATAAAAGAATATAGTTTGAACTTACATTATCTATATTTGTTTTACACAACACACTTTAATAAATTAGTAAATAATGTACTTTAAAATATAAAACATTTTATAATTACTAGCCAGTAAAGATTGCTCTCAATCATTCAAAATTTTCGCTTGATATAAAAGATGTATCTGATTTTAGGATTTAAAAAGCTTCTATTTATTCATTGTTTCTTCTAATATACCTACTAGATAATATGTTATATAATAATATACTGGAGATGGGATGAAGGGGGAAACAAAGATTGACTTTGAAATTAACAAAACTGGAAGAGAGTGGGAAAAGTACAATACCTGACATTTGATTGGTACCTTGTCATTTTCAAATTTGTTTCAAACACCCTAAGCCTATGGGTATCTTTCTGTGCAAATGGCTAATACAGTTTCTTTGGAAGTGGGTGGTTCTTCCATCTTTGGAGCAATCTCATTTAAAGTTTGAGAGAGACAGTGCCTGGGTGGCTCAGTGGGCTCAGCGTCTGACTTCAGCTTGATCATGATCTCAGGGTCCTGGGATTGAGGCCCATGTCAGGCTTCGCACTCAACAGGGAGTCTGCTTCTCCCTCTTTCTCTGCCCCTACCCCTCTCATGCTTGCATGCTCTCTCTCTAAAATAAATAGATAAAATTAAAAAAAAAAAGTTTGAGTGATAATGGCTTTTATATTTAATAGTACATACTGGCAAATATGTGTTGTAGATATGCATGATCCAGTGGACTAGATTGCAGAACTTGGAAATTGATTGCTGTAAGTTTTAATATTGCCTTTCTTTGTGTAACTGGCTCAGTTTGTTCTACCTATTAAATAGATAGGTGGTTATGTAGGATATGATTACACTGCTTACAACAACTACTGTGGATATGGTGATTACAGCAACCAGCAGAGTTGTTATGGGAAAATATCCAGGCGAGGTGATCATCAAAATAGCTACTGATCATACTAAATCATTCCATTTGCAACTTATCCCCAACAGGTGGTGAAACAGTGTTTTCCAATCTGAAGATTCATTTGAAGGTGGCTCTTGCCGCCTGCTCATAGCAGTTCAAACAATTTTTTGTATCAAGTCCCCGAATGGAAGTATCACGTTGAGTCCCTCTAAAGTTTGATTCTGAGTTCTCATTAAAAGAAATTTGCTTTCATTGTTTTATTTAATTGCTATGCTTCTGAATCAATTTGTGTTTTATGTCCCTTCAGTATTGTAAAGCAAGTCTTGTGTTAAAAGCCCTGTGTTATAGTGTCATGATGTTGTAGTGTCTTACTGGTTTTTTAATAAATCCTTTTGTATAAAAAAAAAGGTAGGCTGTAGATACTGTAAATAATATTGATCATTTTGACTCTTTCTGGTTATCTAACAGATAAAGTAGGAATAATCTATCTTACCAATTTTCTTGAATGGCAGGGATATATATATTTGCAATGGCAATTAAATATTACACTTTCTTGGGTAATAAATGTTTCTTTTTTTTTTTTTTAAAGATTTTTTATTTATTTATTTGAGAGAGAGAGAATGAGAGAGAGAGCACATGAGAGGGGGGAAGGTCAGAGGGAGAAGCAGACTCCCTGCCGAGCAGGGAGCCCGATGTGGGACTCGATCCAGGGACTCCGGGATCATGACCTGAGCCGAAGGCAGTCGCTTAACCAACTGAGCCACCCAGGCGCCCGGTAATAAATGTTTCTAAGAGGAATGAAATCCTATAGAGAGCTATTTAATGTCTTGCTCTTAGTCATAAGCTTATATAGCACAACAGAGTTGTTGACAGTTATGTTTTTTTTAAATAGTTTTTAGGACAAAAAGGCAATGTAGAGAATAGAATTGTATACAGCTTTAAAAATTCTTCCTTGGTAAAAGAATAAAGGAAAGGCATTGTGTAGGCTGAATAATGACCATTCAAAGATGTTCATGTCTTAATTCCCAGACCCTGTGACTATGTTACTTGACATGGCAAAAAGGACCTGCAGATATGATTAAATTAAGCAGCCTCAGATGGAGAGAGTATCCTAGTGGGCCCACTATAATCACAAGGTTTGTTAAAGGTGGAAGGAAGGAGGGTCAGAGTAAGGGAGAGGTTAAAAGATGCTGCAGTGCTATCTTTGAAAATGAAAGAAGGGGCCATGAGCTAAGGGATGTAGGTGGCCTCCAGAAGGCAGAAAAGGCAAGGAAATAGATTCTCCTCTAGAGCCTACAGAAGGAATACAGCCTTGCCAACACCTTGGTTTTGGGACTTTTGATCTCCAGAACTCTAAGAGAATATATTTGTATTGTTTAAGTCACTAAGTGTGTGGTAATTTATTACATTAGCAGTAGGAACTAATGCAGGCTGCAATTTATGTTTTAGTGGATTCTTTCCATAAAAACGTGTCACAATGACCACAGAAATTCAAAGAATGGCCTGCCTAGAAAACAAAAGGGAAGCCCACAACAAAGCAAGTATTAAACGAACTCCAGGGGCGCCTGGGTGGTTCATTTGGTTGAGTGTCCAACTCTTGGTTTCTGCTCAGGTCATGATCTCATGGATTGTGAGATTGAGCCCTGCATGGTGCCCCATGTGGAGCCCTGTGCGGGACTCCCCGCTCAGCAGGGAGTCTGCTTGAAGATTCCCTCCCTCTGCCTTTCCCCCAGTGCACACACATGCTCTTTCTCTCTCTTTAAAATAAATAAATCTTAAAAAAAAATGAACATTTCTAATTTTATTTGCAGATATGGCTTCTAAAATAGAGTCACCCGGGAGAATTCATAAAGAAGTACATTTCAAAACTCCATCTTCTAAAAATAATGATGAAAAATCAAAAATATCACTAGGTACTGAAGGATCTACTCAGGTGGAAATAGACAGATCTGTGGAAAATACCCTCCCAAATAGTGAAACAGTTTCAACTGATTACTTTTTGTCTTCTCAAGAAGGTAAAAGAAAAAAAAGTTATTTGTTTTCTAATGCAGCAATTACGGAAGAAATTAGATTCAAAAGTTACATCACATTGTTAACTTATTTTTATTTATAAATTGACAGAAGATGCTTCTGAGTATCAGATTCTGAAATATTTATTTCAAATTGACATTTGTGATTTCATGAATTCTGCATTTTCATCAATTATAATTCTTACAAAAAGGGTAAGTTGACCTTTTAAATCTTTTGCAATAATTTTATCTATTTTTCTAAATATAGGAGTAGTTGAAAATGATGTTTGAGTGAATCCTCCCTATGCAAATGTTACATAATGTTTCTCTTTCCATAAAATCTTGCCTGTACGATTTCTCTTACATGAATGTTTTGTTGCATGGATATTGTTAAGGATTTTTTTTTAAAGATTTTATTTATTCATTTGAGACACAGATTTAGAGAGAGTGAGAGCATGAGCAGGGGGAGAGGCAGAGGGAGAGGGAGAAGCAGACTCCCTGCTGAGTCAGGAGCCTGATGTGGGGCTTGGTCCCAGGACCCTGGGATCATGACCTAAGCTGAAGGCAGACGCTTAACCATCTGAGCCACCCAGGTGCCGCTGAAGGATTTTTTTTTAACCTTTCCTTAAGTTTTGTTGATCTTCAGCATTTTTTTTTTCTATTTTCTTCCCTTTTTTTCATATCAGGGAAAATTATGCTAAATGAATTAACTTGGAAATAATATGAGCTAAAATGAATCTTAAGCACATCTTATTAATATCTGAATGACAGCTGTGATCTCAAAATGGTGTATTGTGAGAATCCTACAAAAGCAACTAATATCTCAAAATTTAACCAAGCCGTAGCTAAAATTCCAAAATCTGTCCATTTTTTATTGTAAATCCTATTAAATCCTATCTCATTTATTGTAAATGAGATATTGCCAAGGACTTAGCTATAGTGCTTTACACAGAAGGCCTTTTACAAATGTTATTTCCTTTTCTTATCTACTGCTAACATATAAATAATTGAAGAAGCACTTTTATCTTCTTACTTACTTTTTAAGATGAAATTTACCAGTGGCTGCTTTAAGGAGCTTACTCTAGTTGGAGGACACAGGCAAAAAAAAAAGCAGTAGTTATAATACAGTGCTGTAATAGCCATAGGATGCTACTAATAGACTGATCAGCCTACTGATGCCCTAGAAGACTGACTGGAAGTGGTAGGTAGATGGGGAAGAGGGGCCTGGGAAACTGTCTCAGAGGAGATCATACTTACCTTGAAGGAAGAGGAGGAGTTAGCCAGACAAAGAAAGGATCGGCATTCTAGGTGGAGGAGAGACCATTTTTTTGGCGAACTATAAGCAATTCAGTTTGACTGAATATAGGATGATAATGAAGATTATACAGGGATTGAATCAAGAATAGCTTCTAATGTTATAATAGGAAGTTGAACTCTATCTTGTAGATAATGGGGCACTACTGAAGAATTTTAAGCAGGGAGTAAAATGAAAAAGTTTCATTTATAAAGTCTGTCTGTCAATATTATCAAATAAGGATTTAACAGGTAAAGACCAAAGGCAGGTATGGTCAAGAAGTTATTGCATTAGCTTAGGAAATAAATGGTGAAGGTCTAAATCAGGGTATATAAACTCAAATGAAATGAATGAAGCATAGGTAAAGAGAACTGTAACCAACAGAGTGTGTATGCTTTCTCCAAAGGATGTAGCTACTATTTACCTTTAGCTTGGTTTTGCCAGATCTTTTGATATTTCAAGAAAAGTTGGAAATCTGGATATTTTGTGTGAAATCTCTTGATTTTGAGTGCTGGCAAATATTCAGATTAAAAAGAAATACCATACAGGTCAGACAAAATGTTCTGTGGATGAAGTTTGGCCCCTTAGCCATCTTTTTTAACCTTTGGTCTAATAGCTGATGGTGGTTATTAAAATGATTGGAAGGACAAACTAGACAGATCTTTTGTAGATAGAATTCATTGGATTTAATGATTGATTGAATGTAGCATGGAGAGAAAAATAGAAAAGTGAGGATAACTTACCAGGTTTCTAGCTTGGGTGACCAGGTAGATGGTGGTGACTGTGATAAGAGTCTGTGAAAACTGGGCTTAATAACATATATTATTTTGCTTTCAGAGACTTCCTCTTCACTTTATTTCTTTGCTAAGGTTCTAGAGAGTTGATATTACCTGGCAAATAAGCCCAGAGAAGTGATTAACTTACCCTGTACGATTTATTCTTTTTTTTTTTTTTTTTAAAGATTTTATTTATTTGACACAGAGAGAGAGAGAGAGAGCAGGAACACAAGCAGGGGGATTGGGAGAGGGAGAAGCAGGCTTCCTGCCGAGCAGGGAGCCCGATGTGGGACTCGATCCCAGGACCCTGGGATCATGACCTGAGCCGAAGGCAGAGGCGTAATGACTGAGCCACCCAGGCGCCCTGTACGATTTGTTCTTAAAGACACTGATTAAAAACTTTACTTAGAAATCTGCTCCATCATAGGAGAAAATAAAAACCAGTAAGAATGATGATTATAAAAAGTCATAATAAAACTTTCAACGACCCATGGAATTAGTTGTATACTGGTATGTCCTACTGACACATCCCTCCCCTGTCAACCCTTCCCCCACAAATTATACTAGTGAAGTTACTAAATTAAAAAAAATAATAATTTATTAATCAGTATGTCACATTCACCTCTCATATAAAGTGCTTATTTAATAAAGGCTATGAAGTATGTTTATTTTTGTGGACTCAGTAAATACGGTCAAACACATTTTACTTTAACCATTTTGGTTGAAATTTTTTAGACATGGGACTATTGAATTTAAATTTATGGTAATTATCTTGTGATCTTGGAAAGTTACTTATTCTGGAGGGCAGTCTCAGGTTTAAAACTCTAACATCAGAAGCTGAGACTAGATGACAGGCTGCTGGTCAAAACTGACTTGTGCATTGTTTAAAAAATTAAGAACCGGTTACCAACATTTAAAAGGTGAGTTCATAACAAAAATCTGAATTTCTGGGTTCTCTTGAAAAAGTAGAAGACTGTAATATATAGTCTCCCATTTTCATATGGCAACAAGAAGCTCAAGGAATAGTACTTGTATTGAATAGACATGAATTCTTCATTTCCCTGCATTTATTTCATCTGTATGGCCTCTATAGGGCTTTAAGTTCATAATGTTTGGACTAAATGTTCTGAAGAATTCCTGCCAGACCTAGAATTTTAACAATATTAGTGCATCTACTAAGCTCCCATAATATAGCTTTGAATAGTTGCAGTAAATGGAAAATCTGAGCAATTTTCCAGTTAAATTTAGGTGAAAAGATTTCCTTTTCTTCTGCCTAAATGTTTCAGGTAATTGTATTTGCTAGTAATTTCAGTTAGATTTTTATACAACATACTTTCTTTGAATTGTTTAAGTAATAGGAATTAATACTACTTTTTATCTACTTTATAATTGAGGAAGCTCTTTGAGTTCTAACATTTATCTATTCTTAATTAGAATGCTTCATTTATATGTGAAATTAACAAAGGAAATTACCTAGCTCTTGTTCAACAGGTAACTCCTGATTCAATATGTTCTGAGAACAACTCTTACATCACTAGTACAGAGAATGAAAGTGTGGCTCAGCATGTTTGGTTTTCTTCCAAAGGACTGGATCCTGTAGCCCATGACATTGCCTGTTTAATTAAATGGGCGTAACTAGTACCTACAGCTTTGCAACCGGGCCCTTCATAAGGGAAATCAGTTTCTAGGCTGTGGACAAGGTTTACTGGTTAGCATGTTTCCAGTGTTCTTTGATGCCTCCTAGTAGCTGTCACTAACAGCATTTGTTCTCCATTTCCCTTAAAGCAGGTCTATATAAGACAGCAAAATCCCCTATCTACTTGAGAACAATCTTTGAATATCTTTTACATGGTAAAAATCATGTATTCTATATGAATTGACTATAGAATAAAACATTCAATTTAATTTTTATCAGTTATCAAATTCAGGATGTCTCTTTTCAATTGTAGATTTTTATGAGGGTAGTAATGTATATGATATTTTAGAAAAAAGCCATATTTAGGGTGCCTGGGTGGCTCAGTTGGTTAAGCGGCTGCCTTCGGCTCGGGTCATGATCCTGGAGTCCCGGGATCGAGTCCTGCATCGGGCTCCCTGCTCGGCGGGGAGTCTGCTTCTCCCTCTCCCGCTCCCCCCTCTTGTGCTCTTTCTCTCTCTCACTCTCTCTCTCAAATAAATAAATAAAATCTTTAAAGAAAAAAGCCATATTTAATCAGGAGTGATGGCCATGAAATTGGATTCTGTGTTGGTAGTCACAACTCCACCTACAGCACCCCTTTACCACACAAGTGTCAAAACAGGATCACAATCTGTGTGGAAACAGGAGTGTATCAGATGTATGAGAATCTGAAATCTTTCTCAAGAATATGAGGTGCTTAGTAGAACTTTATTTACACGTTAAGATATTTTAACATGAACTTTTTAAAAAATGGAACTGAACGATCTAGAGGAAGAGGTAAGTTTCTATATGACTAGTAAGTGTACAGAAGAGAAATTAGGTTTGAATTTTGCACTGAGTTGAAGTTTTACTGTGTTTTTATTGGGGAATCTTTTAGATTTTTAAAAATTTTCATTTATTATTTTGTCTTTAATCTATGTTTTTATATTTGGAATGGTAATTATTGAAAAATTGGAAAAGGGCACAGACTGCCTTAGGGTGGGCAAAAGGATTAAAAAAAATGTTTTAGGTTATAAATATGTCCTGAAAGCTGAAAATGGTTCTAGAGTTTTCTGAAAATGTTCAGACATTGAAGAATTTTTTACCAATACAATGCTCTAATTGATATATATCGTTCTATGATTCTCTGAAATTTTAAATATAAAATTTTAGTTATGCTTCTGTTTTGACTTTAATAAGGTATTCACATAATATAATTTCAATACACACTGTCCAACATATAGGAATGTTGTGTAATACCTTAAAAATGGAGAAATATTAAGCAATTTCTGCTACGTTTTGATACTGATAGTTCCTGGAAACTCCGCAGGCTGATGTGGCAAAAGAGAGCACTTGGAGTTTTAAACAACTAGGCCCCATTTTGGTCCTAAAAATCAACTGTTGTGAACTTGGGCCTTTTTTTAAATTCTTTTTGGCACAGTTGTTCTGTTGCTGCCAGCATACATTAGGGAAATTTCCTAAGGATTTA